TGCCATAGTGTGCAGTTTGATCCATATGTAAGAGCACTGACATGCTTTGCTATTCCAGCCAATCATCTCTTAATGAAATAACTTTATACTTAGCTTCATGAAGAATTCAAAATAATGTTGGGAAGAAATTTTGTAAGCATACAAAAAATAAAATTAACATTGCAAATTTATGATTTAGCTGCCAAGTTTTCTCCCAGCTGTCTGTCTTCTGTTGCTTCACAACAGGTATTGTGTGACTGTGATAGTTACAAAAATATGTTTTATATGCAGATCAGCTCAAATGCTTTTCAGTGAATGTCACTTTGCATGGGGGAGTAAAGAAATGACAGGTATTCAGAAGAAATGAACACTATGAAGACTAGAAATGATGTATTCTCCGAATATCAGCCTCCCCTGTTATGGACAAGAACTGAAATCAAAGCAAATGCTTGCTTTTTCAAAGCTCTATAAACTCTAAATCTAGTTAGGATTTCACTTCAAGAAAGAAATAAGTTATCAACACTATGCAAGCAATTTGGCACAAGCATGCTACACTCCAAGAAAGAAGAGTTTTGCTTTGAGACCAAGTCTATTTCTTTGGCAGACCAGAATAAAACTAGTTATCTGTGTTTGGAGAATGGAAAATACATTTGATTTAGGAAGCTTTTTATTAAGACATGAGTTTGTTGGAGGTTGTCAAGTTTGCACTGAAGAAAAAATAAAATCAAAATGTTGGTGAATGCATCTCCTGCATGGATTCAAACTATATATGTGAGATATGAATTGATTCCTACAATAAAGAGGAATCAGATATTTATTTCAGATATTGTCCCTGTGGCCTTGGTGTCTTCAACATCAAAGCCAAGATTGTTTTCAGTAGGATCGTGGCTATGGATCATAGCATGCCTCCTGCATCTTCTCCCAGAAATTGGGAGAGAAGGAATGACAGGTTCTAGATAGGACAAGCAAGTAAGGATTTGGGGGGGGGGGGATGAGTAAAGATACTGCCAGAGTTGATAATTTTGTGGTGCAGTAGGAGTTGTTTAGTGACTAGGAAAGGCAGAAGTTGCTCAGCATAAACACACTGACAGAGCCTTATTCTTGGACAAAATTCAACAGGGCTTACCTTTGGCAGAGAAAAGGAACTATCTCCATGCACATACAGCCTTGAGTGAACTGAGCACGCACAGGTTTCCACATTGAAAGTTAGTGCACAAATTGCACCAATTCCTGCAGATAACAGATCATAATCACACAGTTACATCATTTTTGGATTATTGAAACATTATATAGAGCTGCCTTGAATATTATTTGGAAGATGTATTTTGTATAACGAGCTGTAGCCAGATTCTTAATGGGGTACTGGGAACATGCAGTAATATGCACCACATTGCAATAGCTGGCTACCAGTACATTTCTAGGCACAATTCAAAACTTTGATTATGAGCTGTAAATCCCTAAACAACTTAGGTCCAAGGTCCATATGAGCCAGCCTGTACCCTTGGATTCTTAAAAGAGGCCCTTTTCTCTGTCCTAACATTTTTATAGTTGGTGAGAATACCACCTATTTAGTATGTCTCATTTCAAGTTAACATCAAGTATTTGATCACAAAGGTTATTGTGATGGAATGTACCAAGATTTGCAATTGAACTATTGTAATGGAGCTTATATTGGAATTATCTTAATCATTTGTACATGCTATAGTAGGAATTAGAATTAGAGAAAGGTGCACATAATACAGGCTGGGTGATCAGGAATTGAGAGGTTAAATATTTAGTGTGGAAAGCATTGCAAATAGTGGATGTGAAGTCACACTACTCTTACTTGAAATCGAAGAATGCATCATCACTACACACAGGGCAATTATTTAATGCACCATCTACAAGGAATAGCATTCAAGGAACAAAAGAAGAAGTTGCACAGTCACCAAAGTAACACATCCCCCCCCTCCCCAGCACAATACCTAATAATACAAGAATGCAAATAACCTGAACCAAAATAGAATGAGTCAAATTCTTGAAATTGTTTTGTAAAATATTTTGAGATGTATACACCTTTTAAAATATGAATTTTTGTGTGTTTTCATATTCTTTCAATTTGAGAAGTATGTAGAACTTGTGGGAAATACAAAAGACAGGCTAACTAAATTATGATCCACACATTATAGGCCTGGGTAACAACGGAAAAATTTGTTTCTAAAATCGATTTGTATTTGGGGTTTTTTTTGTTTCGATATTTAAAATAATTACAAAATTTTCCTTTTAAAAAGTTCGATATTTACGAAATTTCGTAAATGGTAAAAAATTAACGAATCGATTTCCGAAATAATAACGAATCGATTCGTTAATGGCGGACGCGACCGCGAAATACGCTAAAAAACCTCCAAAACCTTCTGAAGCTTCCCTCTCCCTCTGTTGTTGACTGTTGGTGTGATATTATTTTTTTTTTCACTAATTAAACCATAAAACTGGCCCAGACATGCGGAAATAATAACAAAACGACCTCAAAACAATAACGAAACGAATACAATATCGAAATACGAAGCATTTACAAAACGTTTTTGAAAATTCGTTTTTTTAAATAATTGCTCCAAAATGGTTCGTTATCGTTTTGTAATTGAAAAAATTAACGAATTATTAACGAATTACGAATTAACGAAACGAAACCGCCCAGCCCTAACACATTATTCTGTGAGGTATGGCTTCAATTTATTTCCATGAGAATTTTCATCACATAATAGGATGTAAAAACATTTAACATCTGCATGTTTTTTGATGTTGGTAGCCAAACCTCTACATAATAAGTATATGAATATTGTTTTATGTTAATTATAAGTTATTTTCTGATTAAATCAATTTGCTTCAAATAATACAGTTTATCATATTTGATGTCTTTTTTTGCCTTTTTGTCCTATTACAAATCTGTGTTTCTTTCCCCCCTCTAAAGACATTTATATATACCTGTGAATTTCATGTTTGTGAAGCCCTTCATAAAATATTGAAGATGTGCGTATAAATTAGCATACATTGATTTATTCACAGCATTGCATTACATATAAGCAAGAATCCTGTAATATAAGGAAAGGTTAAGGGAGCAGTAGATTACGGTATATTTTATTGACAGCTCTGTTGAAATCAAGCCACCTTTAGATTGAATTTAGAACACAGAGTAGAAATTGGCTAGTAAATAAGTCATGAGTTTTACTTCTGAATATGTGTACACCTGCACAGCCACCATTAATAAGCATAATAATGGAACTTAGATGGAATTTCAAAGGTGTGCTTTGGGCCTGTAGATCTTATAAATGTGTCAGTGGCTGCAGCAATATCAGTATTCGTGAATATTTCCTAGGGTTGTTACTAAACTACAGCTTTCTGAGATGGAAATTATATAAAATCTCTGAAAACCAAGGACTATCATCAAGGAGGGAGGAGAAACACAAGGAGTAGGAAGTAGGTGGTCTCTGGCCTGCAGTTGTTAAGATAGAAATGAATTTTAAATTAAAATCAAAGTTTTATAAAATGTGAGATTTTTTAGCACAAGCCTGAGAACAGTTTAGACCAGGGATCCTCAAACTAAGGCCCGAGGGCCAAATACGCCCCTCCAAGGTCATTTACCCGGCCCTCGCTCAGGGTCAACCTAAGTGTGAAATTACTTGAAAGCACACAACAACAACAAAAATCCTATCTCATCAGCCAAAAGCAGGCACACACTTCCCATTGAAATACTAATAAGTTTGTATTTGTTAAAATTGTTCTTCATTTTAATAATTGTATTGTTTTAAGTGTTTTCTGCACTACAAATAAAGTATGTGCAGTGTGCATAGAATTTTTTTTTCAAATTATAATCCAGCCCTCCAACAGTTTGAAAATCTGTGACCTGGCTCTCTGTTTAAAAAGTTTGAGAACCCCTGATTTAGACAATAGAACAGTCAATGACATTAGCATGCCCACATCAAGATCACGACAACGTGTGACCAATGCAGAGAAAGGATACATAGTAACAGGAGTGATCTCCAGCCTGAGTCATTTTGATCTCTATTGCAATGGTTTCAGTTGGGACACTAAAAACATTTCTGTGATTTTTCTTTAGAAGATTTCCAGAATAGTACTTGCAACCACAACGTAATCCATATCATATGGATTTTAATGCCCAATTTTATAATTGGGTAGACACTCCTTAGACTTGATTACTCCACCAATCCTTTCTTCCAGCTAGGATATTAGCAGAATTACATATGGAAAGTCTGCAAATGTTTCCCATTACTTTTCTATTTTTCTCCAACCTATATTAACTAACATTGATATTTCTCATGTATTCACTGAATTGGAAACCTCAGTCAAAATATAGCATAGAGGAATTTTCTATATATGAAACAAGACACCTGATTTTCCAAATGTTATGGAATACTAATGAATAAAATTGGTATATATCAATAATAAAGAACTATCGACAATTGTATGATAGCTGGGACCCTACGCTATGCTGCTTGTGCAACACGGGTCTGAATTATGTGAACGAGTGAATGCACCGAGTGAGAGATGAAGCTGTGGCAGAGTCGTTGCAATGGAAGAAAGGATAAAAAGGAGGGGGGAAAGATGACCAATGGAAGGAAGGATAAAAAGGAGAGGGAAAATACTGTTAAATTACCTCACTCATATCCTATCCCTCCTGAGTTAAATTACTTCACTGCTATCCTGTCCCAGCTATGTCTCTCACTTACTCCACTGTCTCACGCACACATTCCCTTCTTTAATTCTGACCTGTGTTGCACAATTAAAGCTAGAGATATACAAAGATTACACTATGAAGCAATCGTCCATGAACAAAACTAAATAAACATGCCTGTAGCCATCTGATCTAGAATAGTTTAAATTAGATATAGTTCAACCTATTTCTGTTCTTTATATTTTTACAGTCATTCCGGCTGAAGGTTAAATCTTCATTGGTAGGTGGAATAGAATTAGCAACATGTTATGAATTACACAACAACTATCATTTTATCTTCTCTTCCTTGCAGATTACATACAAGGCTGTTGGATCCCTTGATCCCACCGCTGATCTGTCAAACCAGAGAGGAAAAGTCTTCAAACTAAGAAATGAAACTCACCATCTGTTTGTAGGATTATACCCAGGAACAACCTACTCGTTCACCATCAAAGCCAGCACAGTGAAGGGGTTTGGACCTCCCATCACCACACGGATTGCAACTAAAATTGCAGGTACTGTAGTGTACTGATTATATTCAGATAGAGGAATAATAGCCCAGCTTCCCTTCCCTTTGTCAGTAAATGTCTTAGAGAATTATAACAAATATCTTATACTAAAACTGAGAACAATCCCTACTGAAAAAAATTACATAATAGCCAAAATAGAATTCATATGATATAATACCAGTGTTCATACTCAACCTCTATAGTCCCATTGCACCCTATATTTCACTTCAAAATGTTGAGGTGAGGTATTAGCTCACAGGTTTAGAAGTACATCACAGAAGAAAAGGAGAAGGTTCCAATTATACTTCAGTGCCACTGGGATTGGGTGGCTATTTTCTGGGTCTATTTGCCATGAATTTTCACAGAGTTCATGATCTACCCTACCCATAATCTTGACTTATTGTTTACTATGCCTCCATAGTAAAAAAAAAAAAAAAGAGGGAAGAAGTAATTCATCAACATTACCCTATTAACATTCTGTATATCACTTTAACTTTTTCCCTGACATATTAGTGAACTCAATATTTTTCAAAATTCTGTATTCACACAGTGATGGCATTTCTCCTTTAAAGAGCACAGCACCATTGCATTATCTATTTACTGTATTAAATATTAACAGTGTTCATAGAGTTAACACCATAATTTGGAGGAGATAAAGCAGGGTAGAAATAATGATGATGATGATGATGATGATAATAATAATAATAATAATAATAATTTTCATGGAAATATAAGGACCTAAATCCAATTTTAAAGTGGTAGAGAGAAATAGTGCTGATTTAGTAGAGTTCCATCAACTACACTTCCATCCCCTGCACACAGACAGGTGTAATGCACTTATTTTAATGATCTGTAGGCACATTATTAGCACAACTGTTTATGCTACCTTGAGTGTAGACAACTATGCTCTTCTTGCACATTTGCAAAGTACATTTGATTGCCCCTTGTGCATAGTCTACAAATTGCTGAAATTGGGTTGTTATTCATGACATCAAAACAACACTCTTGCTTGAATCATTCATGGATGTGTAAAGGCATCACTTGTGCTTAAATAGTGAGGCTGAGATTAAGAGTTGCATACTTGAGAGATCAACTGTAGTTAAAGATTTTAAAACACCATTCAAGAATAAAAGGTGGAGTGTTGTATCTCAGATGTTGTCAGAGCATCCCTTCTGATATATCATAGAAATGATATTAGATGGATAGTTTCTCTGTTTTTCCTCAGCACCATCAATGCCTGAATATGATGCAGATTCCCCCTTGAATGAAACAGAGACCACCATCACAGTCATGCTGAAGCCTGCACAGTCTCGTGGAGCACCTGTAAGGTAAAAAAAGTTCTTTTTTACCTTTTGTCTCTCATCTTTTTAAAAAAACAAAACAAAAGTATTGCACGGAATATTTTTCTATGATGCAGGACCTGATTCTGTCCTCTGCTTCAGTACAAAACTTTCAAGGTGACCAGTAACAAGAACTATAACCATAACTAAGCAATTTGCAAACCACATTCAGACACTATCAGTAAACTTCAGTAAAACATCAGCAATCCAATAAAACAGCATTGTAGGAACAAAGCATATTTAACTAAGAAGAACTTTTTAAAAAAATGATCTGATCAGCTCAAATTTTCTCTAGTCTTTGGTCAAGAAATCACAAGAATTACACAGTTCCCCTGAGGCATTAAGCCCCCCCCCCTCCTAAGCTTTCATTTATTTACTTAACTCTTTTGAACAGTATTTGTTCAGAACCAGGACAAAAAGAAAAGAAACATAATATGCAACAGTGTCTATGTGTCTTCTGAATCTTGTATTGCTTACACAAGTCCAAAGAATTATTTTCAGTGGAATTTCTTGCTTATAAATAGCACATCTTATCCTGAAACATAAACTCTTTCTTTAAAGTGCTTCCAAGCTTAATGCAATGTCAAACCCTTACTAAACAAATCTTGCGTACAAAAACTCATCAGGGTTGTCAAAAGTCAAATATAACTTGAGAGCACACAATAAGAACACCTTTGTATTTCTGCAGTAAATGTGACATTACAATAATTAAAAAACTGTTGGTAAGATTTTTTTCATGAGTAGTGGAAAGATTTTGCCCATTTTTGCAATTTATTATTGCTCTTTCCTTAAATGTGTAAACTCTTGTGAGCAGTCAAGAGGAAGTAGTATTAAAAGAGTTGTGTCTTTTTGCCACCATCTTGCCTTGTGTGGTTGTTGTGTCTACTTAGCAATAGAACTGGGAAAGGGGGTGGGGTAATTCTGTTCAGAAAATACAGCAATAAAGTTTCCTACTTTATGTTGATGAAAGCTTTTGTAGTAGCCATTTTTAAAAGTTAGAATGGAATCATAGAATCATTGAGTTGGAAGAGACCTCATGGGCCATCCAGTCCAACCACTTGCCAAAAAGCACCCCTGCTTTCAAAGTTATCAGACTTTTGTACCAGAGGAATCCCATGAGACCAGTAACAACAACTGAGAGAGAAGCTTCTACAACTCTCCACTATTCTCTTGGCCACTTTAAAACCTTGCAACACACACTGGTAATAACAGCTGAGAGAGAAGCTTCCAGTGAGTGGCTACATTGGGCTGCCTCTAATGTTGGGCCTTTTCCATCGTCACCCTCCTCTGGCATCACTGCTGCAGCATTCAAACCAGTCAGGCAGTCTTAGGGCCTCCTCCACTATCGCCTCCTTGGCTGCTGTGTTCCACCGCTGGCTTGTTCTACCACCATTGTCATTGTTGCCCTTGGAGGAGATGCTGTGGCTTACCATTGCTCAGCGTTTGAACTTTTATTAGCAAGCCCCCCCCCCTCCCCCTTGCCCCACCGGACCAAATGGACTGGTCTGGGCTAAATAGACTGGACCAGCTGGATGCTTTTTTGGGAATCTTTCATCAGCCCGTTGGGCATTTCTTAAGGACAATTGAGTGTGGGATGGATTGGACTAATTTTAGGTGACGATGGGCGGTGTGTTTTGAGGGTGTTGAGCTGTTGTTTATCTGGATTTTGGCCGTTAAAGCCACTGGACTGTAAGACCTGTAATTGTACTTCAATGCAATGTAAGTTTGTTATGTTTGAAATTGTTTAATATGTTTTAATAATTTGAAAGAGTATTTTAATTGATACATATGTGTTTTTTTTTACAGTTTTATAATATTTTGTTCTATTAATATTATTATTATCTGAATCTGGCATTGAATTATTGCCATAGTTTGTAAGCTGCCCTGAGTCCCCCTTTGGGGTGAGAAAATATATCACACAGTCCTAGACACTTGGAAAGTGTTCGACTTGTGATTTTGTGATATGAAATCCAGCATATATCTCTCATTTTCTGTGACATACTGTGTTTTTGTGTCAGTAACATAATAATAATAATAATAAGAAGAAGAAGAAGAAGAAGAAGAAATATCTTAACAAGAGATATATTTAAAATTATCGATATTTGTGATTTTTATAAAGTAAATTATTTCCTATCATCAATCTATATAGAAATATTTTGTTTTGATTGTTTCCAATCACTGCTTCTTAAGAACAAATAGATTATTGATATACATTAAATGTTGTTATATGAGTATCCTCCCTTTTTTGGTGTGTTGTTGTTGCTTCTATTGTTGTCATTGCTTTAGATTGCAGCAGGAGGAAGCACTGCATGTTGGTGTCCTGCGTAAGCTCTGTTCAAAGTAAAATTATCTGGCAACACAGATATATAGATTATGTCAGCTGAATATAGTGAATAAATGGTATTTGTGAGATGCCGTTCAAGATTTGAAAAAGCCTTCAAAATATATTATTTAGGACTTTTCTTCTTATTTCATTTTAGCACCTGCTGTCATAAGTGTTGCTATTTTATTTCCCCCTTTATTGAAAATTCTTCCTTTTATATTTAAAGTCCAATTTGTCTTTTTTCTATATTCAATAGATGTGTAGAATAAGAAACCTTTGTGTTAATCTTTCTCAAAACATTTTTAGAAAACTGTAGTATCACTACTTATTCCATTACAGTATATTCTACAGAGATAATTGAAGTGCATACCTGTATATACATATGTGTATCTCCAAGATGCAATAAGTTTATTGTAATGATCATATAGATATAAGATAGAGCTCACAATTTTCCCCCTGACATTAACAAGGGTACTAAAGTTTTACTTTTCCCTAATATCCCTTACCTCAGAAATTGTACACAGAAGATATTGATGAAAAGATGGTGTCTTAAATGGGCATAGTAGTGTTAGGCCCAAATCACTGTTAACAAAAAGATTTGTCGTTTTTCGAGGGCCATTTTCATTTTCTGTGATTTCCAAAAACAGAAAGGGGAAGAGAGGGACTAAAAGACCAGTGAAACAAATTCAGAGAGACAATATTTTCGGAAACACTTACGTCCACAAAATACCTGAGGCAGGGGGATCTGTGGCATCTTTTTCTCTCCCCAGCAGAAGAAGCCTCCTCCATTTTTTGTTGGAAAGTTCCCTCCTCCTCCTCCAGAGAGGGCCCTTAGAACTCACTTTCCCGGTGGCACTAGCATAGGGTGGCCATTGAAAGATCCTCTCAGAGCATGAAGGGAGTTGAAGTTTTTCTTTCTCTGTATCTCTCAGACAGTAAAAAGCCTGGTGATGTCCATGCTCTGATTGGCTGAGAATGGACACAACTGACAACTACAATTCCCAGAACCCTCTTTTGCAGTTTGTTTTATTTTAAAAATAAATATTATGTTTAAAACTTAAAATAATACTAAAACACCCCTCTCCTTTCAGGTAACTTTCTGGTAAACAAAATGAAGGGTCAGATTAAAATGGATCTGCAAATGCTCAAACATATCTGGTTTGCAAGTCTCCATTAAGAATGAATATCTGTTTTATGTTGCCTTTCTTTTCTCATAAGAAGGGCATATTTGCTTTGTAAGCTCTAAAATGCAAATAAAATATGTATTTAGAGTAGAAGAAAAGATCTGGCAGTAGAAATGAACAGCCTGTTACAAATCTCTCTTCTTTATTTTTCTCTCCAACCAATGGCACTATTTCTTGGTGGAGGTGGGATTGAGGTCTTCTTTGAGACAAGAGGCTATGCAGTACTGCTGGTAGTGTCAGAGATTTTTGCTGAATAGCCAGACTACATATGCCAAGCTACTTCTCAACGGGAGTGATTCAGAAAGAAGTTTTATCAGATATTATGGTAGCAGAAATATATTTAGTACTTGTTAGTACTGAAAAGGATCTCGTAACACCTTCAAGACTGAGAGAACAACATTGATAGGATAGGTTTTTGTAGACTTTGTGGTACTATGCAAAACTCTTGAGGTTTGGTGAGTCCAAAGATGATATAACTCATTGGAAAGGATAATAATGCTTAGAAAATGAGAAAGCAGAATGAATTTTACATGGAATAATTAACTACAGAAGGCCATGACCTTAGGTTTTTAAGACCTGAGCTGGGCTGTTGATGACCATGAGTCTTTGTGTAATATATTGGGTCACAGTAAAGGGAAGCCAATTTGACAGTAAAAAAAAAAAAAGAACAAATATTATGTATAATTTTTTTCAAATATTTAGCATGTTTTTTAACTCAACCGCATTGTGAAGCTGAAAATACTTTGACTTCCCAACATAAGAATACAGTGGTATTCCAACTGTGTGATTACTTGCAACCAACTTTCCTGCATCATTTCCAGATCTTAAATATTATTTTTGTACAGCCACAAGATTTCTTCCCTGAATATGTCGTTTTAGATCCTTTCCATTTATGAGAAATCATGATTATTTGTCTCTCTGTAGTAGGAATGGAAATAATTGAAAACATTAAAAATATCAGATATATGTTTTTCAGATATCATGAAACTCTGGCAAGAAAACTTCTTATACACATAGCCTGAAAGTAATTTTCTATACAATATTTTTAATTTTTAACGTGAAACAATGTCTGTATACACTGAACTATCAAAATGAAAATGTCACTATCTCAACTACCCATTATGGATTCTGGAGTATTTGATTTTGGAATTATGGATAAGGGATGCTCAAACTGTAGTTCTTAATTCCAGTATAAATATTATATGGATTAACACAAATATTGCTTAGGAATCCAATAACTTGGATCAGGCTGGTAAAAGCCAAGGCTCTGATTAGACAAAGATTTGGCTGTGTGCACCTATTAATTGTTTACACCCAGGCCACCTAATAGAACCATGCACTGCACACATTTTTATCTAAACACCAGCAGAAAAAATAGATCACTAGATCCTTCTTCTACTCTGGTTGACTGAGACATTTCAGAGCGTAATTATACCACAGGTATATAAATTACAGAAACATGTTAATGCTCCCATGATTAA